CCTACATACATACACGTCTGCTGGAAGCATGTCTGGTACCTGAGGAGGCCAGAAGGGGGCACTAGATTCCTGGAACTACAATTACAGGCAGTTGTGGGCGGCCATGTGGGTGCTGGAAATCAAACCCAGGTCTTTTTCATGAGCAGCTCTTAACCACTGAACCATCTGCCCTGTCTAAAGAGCTCATAAAAAGAGTTTAAAATTAAAGGTATGCCTCAAGAGGCAGAGAGGCAGGAGGGTCTCCGTGAATTCCAGGCCAGCCTGGTTTACAGAGTGAGTTTCAGGACAGCCAGGACTACACAGAGAGACCCTGTCTTGCAAAACAACAACAACAACAACAACAACAACAAAGCTTAAAATAATTAAGAGTTAACTCAAGTCATCTTACATTTAGTGACTGCCTACTGTGTACACATTTTTACTGAGTGCTAGAAACATAAACATAGGAGAAGAATGTGCTAAGGGCAGTGAGGTACTAAAAAAACACAAGGGAAGGGCAACATTCTTTCTCCTCAGAGAAACAGGAAAGTCACGTGGGTAAAGTGGCCTTTGAGCAGGAAGGAGAAAACAAAGCACAGACAATATGTCCAATTAGGACCCTTAACTATTTCTGTGGCATCGATCCTTCTTACAGCCCAGTCTACTCTATGAACTCCTGCCAGGAACAAGATTGTTTGTTTAGTAGGGTTTTGAGACAGGGTCTTACTTGTAGGCCAGGCTAGCTTGAACTCACTGGAATAGGACTCAGGCTGGCCTCAAACTCGAGATTCTCCCACTTCCCAAATTCTGGGATCACTGGTGTACCCCTTCATGCCGGGCAAGGACAGGGTATTTAAATTAAGAGAACAATGTTACACAGATTTTTTCAAAGGAAGTCAGCATTAAAATACACGTTTTGTTAGTAAATTTGAGCCAGATCATATACGATTCTTTGTTAACCCAATAGATAGGAGCTAGCAATTCTGGTGTCTGCCCTTATTGTAAAACAACAGTGGTGTCTTTTTTCATTTGTATTGCAAGCATTTATTTTGTGTATGTGAGCACATGCATGTACTCAGCATCTGTGTGGGGTCAAAAGAGCTGGTTCTTTCCTTCAACTATATGAGTACCAGGCACTGAACTAGGGTCATCAGGCTCATGGGCAAGAGCCCTTAGCCACTAAGTCATCTCACTGGCCCAATTTCTTCTGCAATATATGTGACATTGTATTATGAAATAAAATGCCAGGGTTGGAAAGATGGCTCAGTGACTAAGCATTGGCTGCTCTTCCAAAAGACCTGGGTTCAATTCCCAGCACCCACACGGCGGATAACAACTGTCTGTAACTCCAGTTCTCAGGCATCTGGTACTCTCACACACACACACATACATGCAGGCAAAATACCAATGCACATAAAAAATTAAAAAAAAAAAGCGCCGGGCAGTGGTGGCGCACGCCTTTAATCCCAGCACTTGGGAGGCAGAGGCAGGCGGATCTCTGAGAGTTCGAGGCCAGCCTGGGCTACAGAGTGAGTTCCAGGAAAGGCGAAAAGCTACACAGAGAAACCCTGTCTCGAAAAACCTAAAAAAAAAAAAAAAAAAAAAAAAAGCAAGCAAGCAAAAGAAAATGCCTGTGACTTCTATTAGCAACAAAAACCTAGGTACTACTTACTAATACTACTATAGTTCGTCGCCAATATTTATATTGGGAGGAAATGCTTTGTCTCAGTTAGAGGTTAATAAAAATAAAGACAGCCTTTCTTCTCATTCAAGCTCACAGATTCCCCATGAATTGTTTCCATGGAGCCAGGTTAGGAAGCCAATAAAGAGGGCAACCCAAGGAAAAGAAGAAAGTAAGAAACACGAGTCTTCTACATAGAGCGTGCAAAATGGGACAGGAGATGCACCAAAGTCACGCATGCCAGGGGTCTGTCACTCTCAATTAGTAAAATCACAGAATGAGCTCCAAGTTGAAGAATGGCATCTTCTCTTGGAGCCAAAAAGAGTGAGTGAAAGAAGGGATGAGACCATCATCCCACAGGCTCCTCAGCAGAGCCCCTCTTTCAAGGTGCGGTAGATGACCCCATTTGGAGAACCTGAAAAAAAACAGCATAAATCCCGTTCAGATCTCCATTATACAAAACCATATGCATGTAAGTACCTACAGGTGTAAGCGTGGTATAAATATAAACACAGATGTCTAGTAAAATGTGCAAGGAAATATTATTAGTGATTGGCGTGCAGAATGGATTGACTTCGTTGTGTTTCCAGTCATGGGAAATGGGCAGGAAAGAAGCCCAACAGGGGCTAGGAGACACAGGGTCACACAGACACCACACACTACAAAACAAAACTCCACAATGCCCTTCTTTTGTCTTGCACAAAGGAGTTCGGGTTCAGAACCTGATGCAATCAAACATAGGAAGTCGGTACAGTGATTAACCCCAACTGCTCTTGTTCTTACACAGTCAGAAACTGAGGCTCAGTTTCTACAATGACTTGCCAGAAATCACATAGCAAGAATTTAGAAATCTTGAGGTAGAATCTGGGTCTCCTAGCCCAGGTGAGTGGAGAATATGGTTCTTGCTAACATCAAAGGCTCTGCGCTGGCCTCACCTTGGTTAGATTTCAGCCATTTCGTCTACCTGCTGGTAGCAAACTTGGGCAAATTTTCTGAGGTTTTCCACTCACTGGACTCAGCAATATGAATCTAGTCTCCAAAGACAGCCTGATGACACTGTGCTTGGGACTGGCTCTAGTAGACAGAGAATGCACAGCCTCAGGCTTTAAGTCAGACAGACAGAAGTGCTGAAGGTCCAGACTGGAGATCTCTGGGGACTCTGAATCAATAGCTCTGAAATGGGACCAGAAAGTCAGGATTTTCCTAACGCTCCGCGGGGGAATTGAAAGGGCTTAACATTCAATGGCAAGACCTCGGTTTGACAAGAGGGACTCTAACAGGCCGTGAGCATACAGAAGAGGCTCAGCCCAAGCAGTGTCCACTGATGGCATTAGCGCCACGAGACCCAGGACTCACCGCGGCTCCAGCACTCTTCCGTGGAGGATGAAGGGCACAACTGCTGAGAACCATTGAGATTGGCACCAAAACGAATGTGTAGAGGGACCCTACTGCCCTAAATGTCTAAGGTTCTCAGAGACGGCACAAACTAGAAACCATCCTAGAATGTATAAGAACACTAGTGAGGGCAACTCTAAGGATGCTACCAAGCACTGGGGGACCCACGAGGCGACATGATTTGCAATAAATGTGGCCGGGTGAATTGGCATTCATGTATCAGAGGGTCACGCTTCCAAATGGCCTATTCAGGAGGTATAAAGATTGCCTAGAAATACAGTAGGTCCAGGAGCACTCACTCAGAAGTACTTTGAAGGGGCCAGATGGTGTTTATTGGGCTGGTTGGGGACTGCCAACAACCTATTCTTAGAGTAGGTGTACAAGGAAGAGCACCGTGCAAGGGTAGGGGAGGGCGTGGGGTCAAAACAGACCCATGTGAATTTCTCCAAGTTTTTGCTCCCTATTTTAATCTCAGATTCCTGCTAAGGCAAACAGTAATTGTTTGGGGTTTTTTGTTTTGTTTTGTTTTGTTTTTGTTTTTGTTTTTTTAAAGGTGCAGAAAATAAACAGATAGCAACCAGTGAGGAAAGAGAATCACCCCTACTCTTACAGGCAGAGTAGGCTGAAAAGTGGAACATTCCCCAGGGTGATGCAGGTCCTTCCAGTTGTCTGAGCAGACGGTGAAAAGTGATGGAAGTTTTTGTATTGGGGACACCAGGGTCTAACAGATCAGCAAACAGCAGCTGCTTTGAACTCAAGCTCTATGTGATCCTGGTATAAGAACTTGACCTCTTTGCACCTCTGGGCTCCATCTTTAAGACGGCATCTGCTTCATCTTCCCAACAGATGGAGGGGACACGTCCTTAAGGTTGTCGGATTACAGGAGCTCACAGATCTAGGCAGAGGAACTAACTTCATAGCAGGCCCGCACGGCACGCTTAACCAATATAAGTGAACGCTGGGATTAACCATGCTCCCTTCGGCCACAGCCTGTATCCTTGGGGCTTCTGCAAACTGTACTACATAGTTCTTTCTGAAGCGAAGCTGTGGGAGTCATCCCAGCCGAAGTTCACTGTGCTTTCTAATAAGATTATTTATTCTTCAATTAAATAATCAAATCATGCCTGCTTCTTTTCCAGTTGGTGAAGTAATTTTACCCGCAGATATCACGCTGAAAGGATGCACCAGTGTTACCCATGTACAATAGATTATAGAAACGAAGACCACGCACAGCCAGCAAACAGCAGAATGGGGCTGCGACTACAGATCTGATGACAATTTCTCTGCGATTTTCCCAATCAAGCATTCAAATAGGTGGTCCTGTCACGGAATAAAACACTTGAACTCGGGAGTGCTTCGGCAATCACGTGCAGGGGCTGCTTTGCGTTACGTGAAGACTCTCAGCTCGACAGAGAAGCAGAATCCTGAAACAAGTGATGCCCCCAAAAGCAAGCCCTCCCTCCTCCCTCAAGCTCACGCTTCTAACTTTAATGGACTCAAGGAGGAGAGGAACGCGTCTTTAGTCACGATAGTCTCCTAGCCACTCATCTCTGTTTCTTTATCCCACTAATGGTTAGCATCTTCCCCTGTGAAATGGGAATGAGGCCCCTGCTCAAAAAGCCCCGAGGAGCTCCTGCCCTGAGGTTTGGTCAGCCCGTGAGAGCTACTCTCCTGACCAGGCCATGACACCAAACCCGTGTCCACTGGTGACTACACGGGTCCTGCTGCCTTCTCCATCTCCGGCCCGACCTCCCTTGCACAAACGTTCCACAGAGACACCACCGGTCTCCATCCAACCTCACGGGGGGATGCAGATAACAAAAGACTCACCAGAGATAGTATGCAAATACCAAAAATTATTAAAACATTAATGAACTCTGGCAATTTCTCTGAATTTTGATAAATGGTGTTTATTATGCACTGCCAACCCTCTCCCACAGTCTGGGCCTTCAAATATTAACTAGATAACAGCAATCACTCTCCGAAATGAACAAGGTGTAGAGGAATAGAAGTCATTCTTGATGATTCCCGATAACACCTGCCTCCAAAGGAACTGGAATGTCTGCACAAAGAACAGATCTCAGAGTCTCCCATAGCCCCCCAGTGGGTGACGGAGCCTGTGTAGATTCCTGCTTTGACAGGACAGTGGGTGTCCGGGTGCTGAAGAGTCAGTCACTGATTACAGCTGTCTATGTCCTTCACTCACCTGCAGAAAATTCCCTCCAAACTAGGTAAAACGCAAAGATGGGAGCTCCTGGGACCTCAGTCCAAAGTTAACAACCTTGTAACAGATAGGGGCTTGCCTGGCCATCACCCAGGGCCCCCAACTGCCTGCTACAGAGGAAACATTACCCATATTTCTGCTAAAGAGGTTTGGACAAATGCTTTTGCCATTTCATCCTGAGTGAGAGGATCACATTTTTTTTAAGCTGCTGACAATCCTCGGGTGCAGCTCAGACAGAGGAAGATCAGAGCCAAGAGAAAGAAACCCCCAACAACTCCCTGAAATGAAGGCCTGTGGCCACCCAAGGGACATCTTAACAAGCTGGGGGTCATTCAGACACCTTATCCGCATCCTCACGCAAGACTCTAGGACACAGCGAGTGAAATAAAGTGTGCAGAAAGAAATTTCGTTTCTTAAGGCCAAGTGAAAAAAAACGTGCTTTAGAAAAAGTAAATCCACACGGGGACCCTTGCTGTCGCCAAACCGTTACTGGTCTCCAACAGTCAGCTCCTCATTAAAGGAAACCAAGGGATTGGAAAATGAATGCAGCACCACACATAGGCAAGCTCACATCGCCATCTGCCTGGTAGTATCCAGAGGGGCAAAGGGCTTAAATGGCACTCCTGATTTCTCTCTCCTGCAGGTGGAAATGCCAGAGTCCCAGAGGGGAGAAAGCATCCCTTCCAAGGTCAACAGACTGAAAAGGAAGAGAAGCCAGTCCTGTTTACCTGTCAGCACGATGCCACCGGTGACATTAAACACGTGCATAAATCACGCACCCTGGAATAGTTTACCCTTTTGTAGGAGGCTTCAGACCTTACTAATTCACTGTGTCAGGTGAAGGAACACGCAGGCGTTCCAACTGAGTCAGGCATTTAAACTTACCCTCCCCATCACCTCCCTCTTCCTGATCCAGGACTATCCTCACCACCTCTTTATAGTGAAGGTCCTAGAGAAAGGGGGGCGGGGGATGCTGTAATGACAGGTTAGTTATGCCAAACGCAAAGGCCATGGTTAAGCAACTTAAGCAGATGCCCTGAGCTTTCTGCGCATCCCACCTCCCCCACCCCATCCCCACCTCCGGGCTCCTTTGTCAATCACTGGTTTGGTTTTAAGATGCCAGTGGGGCCTTGTAAAGGCTTTAACCTCCTTTCTGAAAGCTCACATTGTGAATTGAAATAATAATTCACTTAAATAGTTGAACTGTCAACATCACAATAAAGATCTTTTCAGCCCCACTCACCACCTAAAATACCTAGAATACACTTGTGGGGATGCGCAGCAAAGGGAAAACATAGTCCCGTGTTTAACATTTGGCCCATCCAACTTGCTTAATTCTTCATAGTACCGGTAGATCACATTCACTCTGTATCTCTTCGACTTGGGTTAAGAGGAAGAAAATCTGAAGGCAATAAGGTACCTCGGGGGAGAAAAAGCGACAGCGGACCGGCTGCAGTCTCATTAGATCCCAAGAGAATGCAGAGACGTGGTCCAGTGGCCAAAAGGCCTTTACCAATCCCACGTACCACTATCTGAAAAACTGACTGTGGAAACGTTCGCAGAGCACGGCTCCTCCACTCCAGTCCTGCTGAATGTAAACCACGGGGCCACCACTGCTGCATGACAGCGCTACACTCGAGGCTCCCAGCAGCGGATGCTCATTCTACAACTCAGAAGCAATAATCTCACCGCAGGACGCCGGGGATCGGGTTGGAGCCCCGGAACCCATTAATTTTCTTTACCTTTCAGGGCCGGTAGGTGTGGGACTGGGAGATACGGTGGGGGTACATTTTCTAACGCAGGGCTGCTCGGAGTGGGAAACTCTGTGCACCCCCTGGCCAGCACTAGGACAATACACAAAGACCAGGGGGACAGCGCTCCTCCGAGGCCTGAGTTCTGAGCCTGGTCATTTTCCAGCAAGGAATTAGGAATTCCGAGCTCAGCAACAACCCGGAGAAGCACCGGAAATGCTTCCGACCCCCTTCAAAGGGAAGTCGATTTGCAAATCAAAGTTGCGGCAACTCCGGGCGCCCGGACTACTTCCGCGGGTTACTCTGCAACACCCAACAAGTTTGGCCACCCGGGGCTCGGCGTGATAGCGCCGCGCCGCAACCACGACAAGAAGCAACTTGTCGCTCCGGCGCGGGTCGGCCTCCGCACGCTGCTAGGGCCGCCCGGGCTTACAAGGGACCCGGTGTCACCTGGCCCGCGCCGATTCGGGGGCTCCTCCAGCCAGGAGGTGTCTCCCGCCGCCGCCTCACCTGCCCGCCGGCCCCGCGGTCGAGGAACCAACAAAAGAGCGGGCGATCGGGAAGGAGAGGGGCACCCCGCGCCGGGCGCAGGCAGGAGCGGAGGGGGCGGCGGGGCTGGCGGTGGAAAGGAAAGGGAACCTCGCGGAGCCAAGGGGTGACACCCCGGGGCAAGCGCCGGGGCGGGGACCAGGGCTCTTCACCGGCTCCATCACCCCCGCGCGCACACACGCACAGTCACACATCCCTCCCTCCCTCCCTCCCCCCTTCCCTCCCTCCCTCCCTCCCTCCCTCTCTTTACCCAGCATGGAAAAGATGAAATCCTTGGCGGTGTGGATCTCCAGCGCTCTCTGGTCGTCGTATTCCCGCTGGTCGTGCCGGGTGAATTCCTGGATGAGTTTGTTCAGTTCCTCCACCCGAGCTCCCGACCTGAAATCCAGCTCCGGGAAGGCAGGCTTGTTGTTGCAGCCCAGGGAGGCTGCCTTGCTGGCGGTGGGAGCCGCCATCTTCATGCAAAACGCGCCGAGCGGCGGCTCCGCGGCAGCCGCGGCACCCACCCCCGCCCCACCCCCACCCCGCCCCGGCCCTCCCGGCGCGGCTGGGCAGCCCGGCCCGTGGGCGGGCTAGCTTCTGGGCGGGCCCCCGCGGCCGCGCTGCGCTCCGGGCGGCCGCGCTCCTCCGCGGGAGGAGCCCGACTGCGGCGAGGTGCGCGTGTGGCCCCGGCAGCCGGTCCTCCGGTCCCCGCCCGCTGCACCGCTGCGGGCCCCGACCCTCCCCGAGCCGTGCTTGGTAACGGCGACGGCGGCGGTGGCGGCGGCGGCCGGAGAGCCGAGCCGAGCCTCCCCCCGGGGCAAGGAAAGTGAAGTGGAAACAATGTGAAATTCACCAGCGCCCGAAATCAACAAGCTGCCGGCTCCCGTGTTACGGAGGAGCCAGCACCAGCATTCCCACTTAAAGGGACAGCGCACCCCGGTGGGGAGCGGAAAAAAATAAATAAATAAATAAATAATAAATGGCCGAGGTTCGCGCGCCCGGATCACTTAGCAGTCTGGACTCCGGGCTGACGCGCGTGGTGTGGACGCTTTCTTCCTCCACCTCCTCCTCCACCACCACCACCCCCTTTAGGGGCAGGGCTTGCCCAGCTCATCCAAGGAGAAAGGAGTCTTCCTACTCTGATCTTAGGGCGGTGTCCCGGGCGAGAACGTCTCTGTGGGCGCGTTTCTAGTCTCCATCCCACGAACTTTAATACCTTTAGATGGTGGGGAAATATGAAATGTATCTTCTGTCCTTTTTCGCCTTCAATCGCCAAGAATGATAAAATTAACAAATCAGAAAGGGGTGCCTATCCCGCCGCGGATAGACACTTCCAATTAACCATTCAAGTATCTTTACCTTTGCCCTAGGTAATTAGTTTTCCTGGATAACAACTCATTCAACTTAATATACAGTGCCTTCCTGAGAGCCAACCTGCTCTAGCATATAGATAGGGATCCAAATGCGGGTGTGGGGGAGGGAAAACACTGAATTGCCCCAGGGTACATTGAAGATTGGAAAGGGAGAAACTCTCCCATTCGGCTAATAGAATTTGAGCACTCTGTTAGCCAGACCGGAATGACAGGATGTGGGTGGACAGGGATCAGCCAGAGGACTTGCGCCCCCACCCCACCCCCCCGACTGGAACTTAGGGCTGTCACGACAAAGCTGGTGCAGTCCAGTCGTAGTCCTCTAGACAGGATGGCAGATGTGGTTTTAGTGTTTATGTGACTCACACACTTAAGGAGGCCTGTCGACTCCTAGAAACAAAGGTGAACTGTCCCTCTTGTCTCCATTCCGGATATCCCGACAGGTCCTTTTCATTTTCCTACCTGAGTTCTCATCGCTGAAAACTCGCGGATCTCTGTGAGTTCGAGGCCAGCCTGGGCTACCAAGTGAGTTCCAGGAAAGGCGCAAAGCTACACAGAGAAACCCTGTCTCGAAAAACCAAAAAAAAAAAAAAGAAAAGAAAAGAAAACTCCATTATCTTGTAAGAACCTGGAAAGGAGGTCCCGGCTCTGCCGTACTTTCCCATGTGAAATAGGATAATAATAATTACCTCGTCATAGGCTGCTTTAAGAATTACAGAGATAATACTGGCTGACCAGCACTTAGTATAAGGAATGACATGTTCAGCAGCGATTAGCTGCCTCAGCTTCTGCTGTTGCGAGAAACTTTTGAGTGTGTGTGTGTGTGTGTGTGTGTGTGTGTGTGTGTGTGTGTGTGTGTGGTGAATGTTTCTCTGCATGCATGGGCACTGCATTCTTGCCTGGTGCCTGTAGAGGTCACGAGAGGGCATCAGATCCCCTGGAACAGGAGTTCCAGATGGATGTGAGCTGCCAATATGGATGCTGGAAACTGAAACCTGGTCCTCTACAAGAGCAAGTGCTCTTAATTGATGAGCCATCTCTCCAGCCCCTTCCACTGGATTTTTTTTTTTATGAAACATAGATCTGGCCACTGACAGATCTGAAATTTCACTCCTACTTTCCATTCTCAACTGTACACCAAACCAAAGCCAATCCTATCCTTCCTTGTTCTGACAGCTTCTCCAGGCTGGACCCAACCTTTGCCCCCTCTGACTGGGTAGCAAGCAACCTCTCCTTCCTTGAAACCCTATTGCACCCTTATAGACCCTTGCTGGGGACACCAATGAATAGGCTTGCTTTATCATTGTTAATGCAAGCCTCACATTGTGGGTTACCTGGCATGCACCATAGTGTATGCTTGATCCCCAGCACCACACACATAGAAAAACAGAACCCAGAAGCAGAGTTCATATAAAATAGAGCATTTTTTTCTCTCTTAATTTACAAAACCAGGGATGAGTCATTGCTCCTCTCTTGTTTCTGCCTTTTCTTGTGATATTTGCATCCTGGAGAGACATCAGGTTTCTAGCAGAAATCACTCTGATTGTGCGTTAGCTCTGGGCTTGGTGGTTTTGAATGACAGGGTCAGTGAATGAGATCTTCATGGTCTACACTTCTTTCTTGTCAGCCAGATCAGAATTCTAGGAATCTTGACCTTCAGTGAGCCTGTTTATATGGACAATGTTACCTAATGGTAAATATCTTACAGACCTGTGATAAGATGGCACATCTATCTCTCTGAATTGAGAGAGAAAGGGAGTAAGAAACATTTCCTCAACAGGCGCTTGGAAGATATTTTGCCCTCAGTGCCCTAGTAGACAGCAGACCTCCATCATTTTTGCAGACAACTATTTAATAGTTCCTGCCCCATAGGTCCTTTTTTTTTTTTTTAAGACAGAGTCTCTCCGTGCTGCTCTAGCTGACCTTGAACTCACTATGTAATGAGGTTGACGTAGAACTCCCTGTGTAGGCTAAGCCAGCCTGGAACTCAGAACCCTCCTGCCTCAGCTTCCTGAATGCTGAGATTACAGGCATGTACCAATCATGCCTAACCATGGCATGTTGTGGTTTCGATGAGTTAACAGACACCATCCCGCAAAGTCCCAGAGGCCACTGTTCAGGTGAGAGCAACCGCAAAGGGGCAATGTCAGCTGCGGCTTTGCACCATCCCTTAAGAGTTGTTATAAATGAGCCGGGCGGTGGTGGTGCAGGCCGTTAATCCCAGCGCTCCGGACACAGAGGCCAGAGAATCCCTGTAAGTTCGAGGCCAGCCTGGTCTACAAAGCAAGTGCCAGGACAGCCAGGATTGTCACGGAGAAACCCTGTCTCAAAACACACACACAAAGAAGAAAAAAAAAAAAAGAAAAATTACTATAATGAAAGAATGAAAGACCGCTCTTTGAGTTCAATTAAACACTGCTCTTTTATTGCCTTTTCAGCTCTTGTGCAAGCTATAGGACGTCAGAGAAGAAACAGGGCTGAAGAAGTAACGAGAAGAACAGTTTCTATCAGTCATTACTATTTAAGTCTGGTAATAAGTATGTAGAAATGACTGAAGACTCTATCATCTAAGCAAACACTCAGGATTTCTTCACTTGTGCCTCTAGCAGCAAAGCAACCAGAAGATCTCCATGTTTCCCACTGGGGAAGGGACCTTGTCCTTCTTCCTAATGTCATCGTGAAAGAGATCTCTGTGTTTGCCTCTCTCGCGCTGTTTGTTTTTAAACACAACTCTGAAGATTCATGGCAAACCCTCAGCCATGAATAGCTAGACTGTGCCGAGTATGTATTAAAAATAGCAAGCTCCACCTCCACATGATGAAGGAACAGAATATAATTTTAGCCAAAGTTTGTCTGGCCTGACTGGGATTTAAACAGCAGCCTGGGCTATAAGATGTGGCCTTCTTGGCCAGGCGGATGTCCAATAAAAGTCTACCAAATGGAAATGACCCAGGTTTCTTATGATTTCCAAATATGTACAGAAAAACCAAAAGCAAACATCACAGGCATGTTGATGGTGAAGGGACTTGGAGGATAAAGCCCATCTACCATCTTCATAAGGCGGATAGGAAAGTCAGGACATGGCAAAGGAAAGGAGCCTCGCATGATGAGTAGAAACAGCTCTGTTCCTATCTTCCGTACTAACCCCAAATTTAGTCAATAATTATTGCATTTTCATATTGCCAGAGGGCGTAGATGTCCCCATAAAATTACATAATCATGATTAAGGGGCATGAGGAAGAAAGAAAGGATAGGAAGAAGGAAGAAAGGGAGGAAGGAAAGAAGGAAGAAAGGATAGGAGGAAGGAAGAAAGGAAGGGACAGTGGGAGAGAGAGAGAGAGAGAGAGAGAGAGAGAGAGAGAGAGAGAGAGAGAGAGAGAAGAAAGAAAGAACAAATAGCCCTTGGGCAAAATGCACATATTTCCATTGAGACTTAAATATTAATAAACCAGGAATTACTGACATTTGGAATCATCTGTCTATGTTTTCATATCATAGATGCATAACTAGGACTAGAGCCAAACCAACCTGTGGTGGTTTCCATGAGACACGTCCCCTGTAGACTCAGGTGTTTGAACACTGGGCTCCCCAGTGATGGCACTGTTTGGGAAGGCTGAGGTGGCGCAGCCTTGCTGGAAGAAATGCATCACTAGGGACCCGCTTTGAGAGTATATACCCTTGCCCTACTTCCAATTTACTCCCTCTGCTTCATGTTTTCAATTACGGGAGGAAGCTCTCAGCTTCCTGCACTTGGACTGTGCCTGTTGGCCGCTACCGTTCTGTCTCTGCCATTATGGGCTTTAACCCTCTGGAACCATAAGTGAAATCTTTCTTCTTTAAATTGTCTTGGTCATATATTTTGTAACAGCAACAGAAAGGGAACTAATACATAATCCGCTCCTCCCCTTCTCTCTCTCATGTGTGGTAGTGAATTGAACTTGGTGCCTTACAAAGGTAGGTACATTCTCAATCTTATTTGTGTGCTTTATTTTGAGACTGAGAGTTTCAGTGAGTTCTGCCAGACAGGCTTGTGATCCTCCGGCCTCAACCCCCGGAGTAGCTGGGATTACAAGACTGTGCCAGCCATAGGGAAACCTCCTGAATTTACAGAATCCTGCAACGGCTATCATCAAGAAAACAAACGACAGGAAATGCTGGTGAGGGATGTGGGGAAAGAGGAGTCCTTATTCACTGTTGGTGAGAAAGTAAGTTGGTGTAGCCACTATGGAAGTCAGTGTGGAGGTTTCTTGAGACTAAAAGTAGAACTACCATATGAGGCTGCTAAAGCACTTCTGGATATAAATGCAAAGAATGCTATATGCTAACCCAGAGATACCGCTAAATCCGTGTCTATTGCTACTCTAGTCACAATAGGTAGGAAATAGACTCAGCTGAGATGTCTGTCCATCACCTAATGAGTGGATAATAGAAATGTGGTATATACACACAATGGAATTATATTCAGCCATCATTTTTTTTTAAATGAAGGGACTGGTAAAATGGCCCAGAAGTTAAGAGTATACTGTGTTTGGGGCTGGAGAGATGCTTCAGTGGTTAAGAACACTGGTTGTTTTTCCAGAGGACCCCAGTTCAATTCCCAGTACCCATAACTGTCTAACTCTAGTTCCAAGGAATCTGACTTCCTCACACAGTCATACATTTAGGCAAAACACCAATGCACATAAAATAAAAAGTAAATAATATATATTTTTATAAAGTATACACTGCTCTTCCAGAGAACCTGATTACAGTTCCAGCACCCACATCAGGTGACTCACAACCTCCTGTCACTATTCAGTGCCCTCTTCTGGCACCCATGGGCAGTGCCCTTATATGCACAAACACACACACACACACACACACACACACACACACACACACACACACACACACAAATTCTTAAAAACAAATCAAAAATTAAAAAAAAAACCTTTTTTTAAAGGAAAAAATGAAATAAAATTTTCAGAAAATGGATGGAACTGGAAAATATTGAGTGGATAATGTAGGCTCAGATAATGTTCTCTCTCATACGTGGATGCTAGTTTCTAGCTTTTATATGTGTGTTTACATAGGGGTGATTGTGTGTAGAGGCCTGGAAACTAGAAAGGAGCCCGTGAGAGGAGAAGAAAGAGGCTGTGAGAAAGGAGGGCAGAGAGGGCATGAAATAATATGTCCTATGAAAGTGAAAGGGGGAAGTCTGAGGGCAGAAGTGCTTAAGTGGGGGACAGGGACAAGAAGAAAGAGTGAGCTGAGGGAGAGAGGAAGGTCAACCCAAACTAAATATGTATGAGCATGTCATAAGGGAACCGGCTACACAGTGATCTAAGTTAAAACAAAAACGAACAAACCTTCCTCAAAACACTCAAGTCTCTGCTTGGGACAAACTGGGTAGTCTTGTCTCTGTGAAAACAGGCTGTTGCAATGTTAGTGAAACCCCTACCCACCCAGAATACGGCTACAGATATTCCCTAATGCTCGATTTTGTCGAAGGGGCTCTGAGTGAGCTCCAGCCCCCTGGATATGCTCATGTTCCCATGATTTTGGACCTTACCCAATCTCCTCCAGTTCTCTGCCAAAACCACCCTCTGGGTCCAGAGAGTTTAGCCATGAAAAAAAACTACAGGTGTGAAGACTCTCACCCCAGCCCATTTCTTCGGTCTCTCCCTGCTGTACTGTAGTTGGAGGAAGGAAAGGGTAAAGCTGGAATTGTGGAAAAAGAAACAATAACGAGAAATGGGTATGACAAAACCAGATAACATTTGTTAACATCCCTAACCTGGCGGAGGGCATCACAGTTCCACGCAACACTGCTGAGGAAACTCACTCAGTTTCTCTTCACCTCCTGCTAAAGCAGGTCAATCCGGGCTTCCCTTACTATTCCCATTTCTGAGATAAGAAGATACAGCTCGGCAAGAGGGTGCTAGAACTGTCATCCTTCCGTTTCCTGATGGACCCCCAACTCCACTCCCTCAGCTCTCAGTCTTGGAGACATCTCTCAACTTTCGTTGCCTTTATACTTTCTACCACAGTCTTGTTGCTCAGGCTTCATCAAAGCTGCCTAGTGTCTTTAGCGTCTCCCTCATGAGAAAAATAAATAAATAAAAACGTCTGTTTCATATGCATGGTGACTGTGTACGTTTGATCACAGATGTAGCTATCCCCAGTCCCTACTACTGAATCTGAGGGGCAAAAAGGTGTTTGGTAAATGCTGAGAGATTTTTTAAAAAGTAAATAAAGGAACAAGTGGCCTCCTTGGGCCCCTAATACGTGTTCTTTCCTTCAAATCTCATTGGCTCTGTTGGTGGCGACTACTGAGCATAGAGAAAAACACCAGGAATCTCTTACAGTGTGGAACTCGCAAGCACTTTACCCAGCATTTGGCGCATACCACCTGGTCAAGACTTGTCTTAAGTTCACATCATTGCAAAAGTGGCTTTTTGCGTCCTCCCCCGACACCCCCACCATACACACACCACTTTAAAATCTAAGCATAGGCCATTTGCCCAGTGAATTTATGACACAATAATTTGGAAAAAAAAAATTTACATCTGAAGTTTCTTCCTCCTCCTAGCGACACCTGCTTGACACTGTTTCTACACCTCAGGTGAGAAAGGCAGGGTGATTGATTGCCAGCAATTATAAATAACTTGGGGTATGCTCTCTGCACACGACTTCCGTGCCGCTTTCTTTCATGTCACTGTCACAGAATGACTGACAGAACAACTTGCAGGAGGAAACGTGTGTTTGGGCTCATGGCTTATGGGTGTCTCCGTTGGTGGCGGTGGGAGCGGGGAGGTAGGGGGGAGTGGCATGTCATCATGTGAAGGCAGGCTGGAAGCGGGACCAGTCCTTCTGACCTGGTATCTGTCCTACTTTCATTGGTCCCACCCCATCTCTTTAAGATTCCACAGTTTATCATCAGGTCCCTACCTCCTCCACTTCCCAAATAATGCAAGTTAGAGAGTGACTGTCCAACCGATGAGTTTGTCAGAGAACCGGAGTGAGGAGTTGCCTGCAAAGCCGTGGGTGTCTCAAAGGCAGCTGCACCGAAAAGCCCACTTTGGGACCGGTGATGACTCATAAAAGCTGCATCCATGGAGCTTTCTGGTCAACCTGCAGGTAGCCTCTCCTCGGCATGTGTTTCCTCTATGGGGCTGGGGGACATTTCAAAATCAAACCATAACAAATGTCCCTAACCTATTAGCTTTAGTGTGAAAACAGGGGGAGCCTTCGTGACCAACTAATCTCCTGACACTGTTATATACATCCTCTTCTAGCCCATGAGTGAGAGACCCAGTTCTAGGTCGTCTGCGGCAAACCACAGGCTTCTTCACTTTGAGGGCTTGCTCGTGTCCTCAGTGGAGCATGGTACCTTGCCATGAGAAGAGTGGGGATGTGTGCCTTGTTCTAATTGTGTACAACTAATGAAATAAGGGGAAATTAATTTGGAGTGTGTGTGTGTATGTGTGTGCGTGTGTGCGTGTGTGTGTGTGTGTGTGTGTGTGTGTGTGTGTGTGTGTGAATAGAGGTCAGAAGCTGGAGAAATGTGCAGAGAGTACAGAAATGTGTTTCAGAGATGAAGCTCAGGGTATGGAAGAGTTTTGTAAAGGTAAGAACTGCTTTGCCACAATGCGCTGCCTGATGGAAGAGTGAACTCACTGTGGCATGTGTTCAAGATTCTGCTACATCCCCAGCAGGCTCAGGTGACAGAAGAATACCTTCCTGAAAGGACACACCCCACACAGACAATGCACAGCACTAGACACCATGAGGCACTCGATATTCATTTGCACACAAAGCTCATGATCAAGCATTTTGTCTCTTCTTTTCTTTTCTTGGTTTTACACACATATACAAATGCATGCACTCACACACACACACACAGAGAGAAATAGACACACATACACAGAAACACACATACACACACACACACACACACACACAC